CTTGAAATCGGAACCCTATTTAGTCGAACGTGATAGAAACTTGATTGAAATTAAGGAAAACAATTAAAAATTGAAGGGCTCAGATGAAGGTCTTGCGCCGAATAGGCATGCAGGTTGGGCCAAAACAGTTAATTTTTCAATCTGCTCACCCCCATTGAATTGCGTAGACGCTTGTTGTACGAAGTTTCAACATCCGTAGGTACCTCGTACAAAATGTGAGGGATTCTTGTACACTAACAGCCTCCTCTCTATGGATCATTTGGGTTGTGCTTTGTTACGAACGAACCGCTTTGTAACTGCCCGAGCAGCCTGACAAATTATAAAATGGTATGAAAATTTTAATTTAAAGGGCTTGAGAAATAATATTAACAAACTAATTATTGACAAGATTACCTCTCAATTGGATACATTCAGTAATTATGCACGGGCCAGTAAAGTTCACTTCATTTGGCAAATGTATCATTACTGAAACCATACTCGTGAAAAATGCTCGTGGATATATTTTCTCTAGCCGTCATAAGATGTACACAATATCTTCTTCCATATCATCTACATCGGATGATCAAAGTTTTACAATATATTTGCTAGAAGAACCTACACAAATATGTTATCGTCTCAACAACCTCGATGTCCAAGTACTGGCTGAGTACCAATTGGAAGTAGCCGTTCGAGCAAGACATGACAATCATGATTCTTCAAACCCAACAGTGTCCAAGTGTCCATTTTAACATGTCTAGCTATATTGCTAATTTCAAACCTTGTAGCCACTTTAAGAACTCTTTCTTGCCAACCAGCTTGAAAGTAAAATTGGCATTCTTTTTCTTGTATTTACCATTTTCCAATGTAGGCTACATGTTAGGCCTTATTCCCTTTGCTTGCATGCTAATACGAGTCTTCATGGTGTCTTTCGATTTTCCCTCGATAGGTAGAGTCGTTCCCACCACATTGCCGCATACGTTCTTCTCAATATGCATGGATCAGCAATTTGTGAGATTTTGAATTTTGACCAGTATTCCAAGTCAAAGAATATACTCTCTTTTTTGTCTAATTAAGTCGTTCCACTGGTTTCGAGCCTTCCTCAAAATGGAGTGTATTCAACTTGGCCAACATCTCATCTTCAGATAATTCTCTTGGTCTAGTTCGATACATTGTTGTGCCATCAAATGTTTCAGCCTTGTCATGCCACTTGTGATTTTAGGGGAGCCATCTTTGGTGATGCAAGTAGCATTTCCAACTGCCAAAAGGACGACAAGTCCTCTCCTCATGTTGGGCATACCATATACCCTTTTGTGCTCCAACCCAACAACATACCATAAGCTGAGAAATCATTAATTGTCCATACAACTGCGACTCTCAGAGTGAACTTCCCCATCAATATGTTGTGCGTTCAGTACACCATTTGTCCATAATTCTATCAACTTATTAATCTAACAGCCGAAAATAAACATCAATGAAATGGGATGGTGATCTTGGCCCGTGTATTAAAAGACTCATGATCGAAAATTCTTTCTTCATGAACCTTTAGGGGGAAAGTTATAAGGAAATGACCATTGACCAAGTGTTACACTCACTGAAAAAAAAATCCCAAACGGATTGAAAGAATGGTTAATGTAATAAACAGTGACTTGTAGTTGAAGAAAGCAAATCTACATAATTTAAATGGGGTAAAGCCACGTCTCAATTGAAAGGTTGTTTGTCTGTGTCTGAAATGACACGAGTTCGAGTTGTGAAAATAGTATATTCGCAAAACAACAATAAGGCTGCATACGATAAACGTGGCGTCCATGTGAACAATAACTAGGTATCACGTGTCATTAAGAGTCCATGTGAAAATTAAAAATTCAAAAAAAAATAAATAAATAAAATATTTGATCGTCTTCCATCTCCCCCGACCTTCCCTTCCTCCCTTATCCCTCCATTCTCTCCTATGCACCAACCCACCAAACCCTCATCTCCTCTCTTAAACTCATTCTTTCTGTCTTTTTGTTTCACTTCACTCCCTACCAGTACACATCTCATCGTTGGCCATCTGCAATCTCAAGCAGCTTATCTCATATATTTCTTCCCCATTTGATTTTCTTCTATATTTTTGGAATATTAATCCCCAAATAAATGGTGTCGTAGCTTATCTTCCACAACCACTAATCTCAATTTTTCCACTCAAGAAGCAAAATCTACTGATTACACGGGATTCAGTTTCCTTCCTTCTTCTCTCCGATCCCCGAATTGGATTCCGCAGCCGTGAAACGCAGCTGAATCTTTCTCTGAGTTGGTCCGTCGAATTTGGTAAAAAATGCAGGTCGGTATCGGGATCCATTAAAGCTCTAATCCTTTCGCCGCCTATTTGTATCTCGGGGTTGTTGGGAAGCAATTTACTACTATAATCTCACTGCTCAAATTTGGCCGTTTGGAGAAGAAAGGAGAGAAAAAGATTATTGGGTTGCTTTTAATTTCGATTTATTTCCTTCGTGTTAAATGGGTTTATGGCAAAGAATCTGGGTTTTAATTTCTTTTGAGCTGAAAAGATTCGAAAGCCAAGCCCTTTGAGTCTCTGAGGGAGCTTCTTTTACAAGGATTCCAAAGGGAAAAGCAAAATCTGAAGAATTGCAACGGTTGAAACCTTCAAAGTCCCTTTACCAAGTATCCTTTGCTTCTATTAATTGGAGCTATAATGGATTTACGAGCTGAAAGCCATAGATTTTGAAGCTTGAATTTGCAGAATTTATTGCACATTTTCAGTTACCATTCTTTGGATCTGAAGTGTTACAAATAGGAAGTCTTCTGGGTGCATATTGTCATCTGGGAATTGGGTTTCTACCAAGTTGGTTTTGAGTGGCATTGTGCTGAGTTTCAAGATTTCGAAGCATCGATAGGGCTTATTCTTCGAAGTCTCGCGATGTTGTTCGTTGTGATATGTTTCTCCCAGCTACCTGATGTGTCTGCACAATCCTCAGGAGACTCAGCACGTGGGCTTGATGCGCTTCTTCAAGATGGGTGGAGTCGAAGATGGAAGGGGAAAGGTGGATGTATGATGAGTTGAAAAGGAGAGGAGATGATGGTTTGGTAGGTTGGTGCAGAGGAAAGAATGGAGGGATAAGGGAGGAAGGGAAGGTCGGGGAGGTAGAAGACGACCGAAAAAAAAATTTGAATTTTGAATTTTCACGTGGACCTTTAATAATACGTGGTGTTCAGTCATTGTCCATATGAGTGCCACGTCATTAGTTAATGGGAGATTTAACAGCCAGACTAACGGATGTATGAGACTGTTCTAAAATTAACCCTTTAGGTATGATTCTGGGACAAAAAAAAAACTTCATGTATCAAATGTTGAAAACCACGAAACTTGAGGGTAGTAAACTGAGATTTATCCTTAAAAATACAATAACCTACATAGAAATACATTATTACATTAATGTCAGGGACTTCAATAAAAAACTAAAAACCACAAAGGTTTCAGTCAAAGAACATTGGTAGTTAGGGAACGCATTCAAATTGTCCTTTTTATTTTATTTTATTATAAAAGCAATACGTTGAGAATGAATCTCACATTTATTGATTAGATGAGGGACTTTGCATGTGCTTATAAATAGTTGGACTACTCCTCATATCACCAATTAATTTTATAGTGGAACCTCAACTTCTTCATAATAGATAACTATACTATTGATTTGTTTGCAATGATAATTGATATGCTGGGCTATCTGGAATAAAAGGAATGCAGTGCTTTTCGAAGGAAAAACTTTCCTCGATTGCTGGAGTTCTTAGTTCTAAAATGTCACTGCTACGAGAAATTTTTCATCATGATTGGAACACGGATGATACATCAGGTATTTTTATATAAGTGGTGAAAAATTATATTTTTTAGTTATTAACTTTTTAACATACATATCTCACCATTTGTATAGACATGTGCTGATGTGAATTTGATTAATAATGATGACGATGAAGCTTGTTTTTCGGCTGAAGGGACCCGATTCAAGATATTAGAGCTTTGTCATTGCTCTTTTGTGATTTTTCATGTTGCTGGCAAGGTCGTGAAGCCAATGTGGTTGCTAATGATATTGGTCAACTTGTTTATTGAAATTTTATTTCATGGATTGAAGCGGAACCACCGTCGTTGTACTTTTCTCTCGTTGCAGATGTAGTAATTCTCTGATTATCAAAGAAATTTTATTTCAACAAGAAAAAAAGAAGAAGCAATACTACACTAAATTCAATTAAACGATAAGAAGAAAAGTTCAAACTTGAGTATATATAAAGGGGCACTGCTCTAGTTAACTTAGCTAAACTTATATTTGCATATATTAATGCCACTTAATTTAAGTAGAACGGTGGTCATGTTAGACTAGATTATGTTTTTGTGAAGCTGTATTATTTTGATCTCTTATCATAATTTGTACTACTTTAATTTAAGCAAAATGTTAATTGTGTTTTGTCAAGCTATATTAAAAAATGTGGTACCATCCTTTCCCTCCAGTCAAAGTTGATATATTTGCTTTGAATAATCAAAATTATATAATAAAATAGTAACACCATGCATGTTTGTTTTGAAAAATCAATATCAACATTTTCGGCCGCTGTTGCCATCACATGTACATCCATAAACAAAAAACAAGAATTTCCCTCATCATTCAAATTCTCATTTGCATCCAAATCCGTGTTCTTTCTTCTTTAATAATAAACTAATGTGTTTTAAGTTAAAACTCATTACTTTTTTTTTTTAATTTAATTTATAATAATAACATTGTATATGATGAGAAAATAATAATTATATATTATTATTCCAGCATCATATATTGTATGCTCGGTTCTTTCCACAATCGCTTATATAAGGAAAAAAAAAATCTTATATTCTTTCCATTAATACTCTCTTTACTAAATTATTTATTTTATACTTGTACTAAGGGTCAAAATCTTCAAGCTGTCTTGCAGGTCCATATCACGGCAACTCGAAGCCTTGAAGTTAGCAGCACTTGCAAATGTAAGCTCATACCAACCGAGCTCTCTATATAACCATTGGGATAAGTTATTGTTTTTGCATTCACAATTGAGGTATTAATTTCACATTGTTTTGTTTATCTCAATGTTTCTAACGAAGCAGGGAAAAAATATCAGAAACTCATGGAGGAGGAAAATCTTGATTTGATAAGCAGATTACCATTTGAAATCCAACAAAAAATTATTTCATTTGTCCCACTTAAAAGGGCAGTAAGAAGGAGTGCTCTTTCAGCTCGTTGGAAGAGCCCTTGGTCTCCAGTTGAAGCAAGTTTGAATTTTGATGCAAACCCAGCAAACCTTAAAGGAAACCCAGCCAAACATGAAGAGAAATACCAAGTTATGGGAACTTTCATGAAGTCTTTTGTTTTCCCAGAGCAATGGAAGCTTTATCTCATTGTTGTTGGAAGCAGTGAAGAACCACAGATAATTGTTGCCAAAGTCACCAAGGGGGTTGGCAGAGAGCTTCATCTCGAGTTCTTCGAATCAATGAAAATAAAAAAAAATTTGAAGGGTTTCTGCCTTCGCAAAAATCCTGCAAAAACAGATGGTTTTTGTGGTGTGAAGCATCTCCATCTCAGATCAGTTACTGGCCTCACAGGAACTTTCGTGTCAGATTTGTTCTCCAGTTGCCATGTTCTTGAGAGCTTGAAGCTTGAAAAGTGCATGGGATTGCATAGCCTTGATGTAGAAACAAATAGCCTCAAGAGCTTGGTGGTGGAAGATTGGTCAGACATGGTTTCTATTACAATTTTTGCACAAAATCTCAAGTCCTTTTGGTACTATGGTGTCTTCCTCGGATTGTTAGGTTAAAGAATGCAATGAGCTTGGTTGATGTGGTGCTTGATTTGAGAGATGGACCAGGCTGTAGTCAGTTTGAACGTGACCAATTTCTATACAATATCTTAATTTCTTTCAAGGATGTTGAGGCTCTCACTGTAAGTGGCTGGATTCTTGAGGTATGTTTATAATGTATTTTGAATTGAACACTGTTTGGCTTCTTATCACACGTAAAAAGTCATAATTCTTATGTGTAGATCAAAGTCTGACACGTATGCAAAAATAACTCATTATTAAAATCTCAAAAGAAAAACTTTTGCACACATATCAAACTATGATTTGTCTAGTGTGTAACAATGGTGACTTCATACATGAAACGAGTCAAGTATTATTATGTATGCGATTCTGACAATGTGTAAATATGCTTTGTGTTTAAGTGGTTGTGTTCAGGTGGAGTGATTTTTGGATATCTTGATTTCCAATTCAACAAGCTAAAGTCATTAACGTGGGTAGACTTTTTGATCAACAAGGAAAAAAGAGACTCCCTTGCTTGCTTCCTAAATGCATGTCCTTTGTTAGAGAACTTGTTGGTTGAGGTAAGTGTTCTAGTTTTTAACCGATAAACGGTTTTCGGTCACCCAATACTTATGTTTATTCAATCAAATGCCTAGAAATAAACATAGGTGTGCAACGAGAGAAACATGATGTGCTGAAATCACTTGGTTAATTTTAATACATATGCTTTTGTTGACACTTCCTCGCATTGATGAATGAGCAGATTGACAGCAACCTCAGCAGCATCCCCTGCCCAGATTTCCACCATTACCTCTGGGAGGAGTCCTCTTGTATCAGGTCCAACACTTCAAAGCTCAGACACCTCAAGAGCGTTGATTTTTTGGGCTTTACTGGCAAAGAAGATGAACTACCACTGATGGATCTTGTACCTGAGAAGGCCATTACGCTAAATTCATTCACTTCAACATCCCCAGAAAATTGAAATAATCTTTCTATCCCGCATCGGACCGCTAATTCTAACGATCCCCACTTGCTACTTTAACCTTGGAGTCCCACATCGGAGATCTATGTCAACTTTCGATGGAAACTGTCTTTTACCATTGTACCTTTTTAACTTTAATCCAGAAAAATTTGTTGCCAAAATGTGTACGGGATACATGGGAAAATCTTAAAAATATATATGTATATATACTTAAATTTTAACCAAGACGAAATTGTTAGAACAATGCGTACAGGTACATTGGAAAAGAGTTTAATTTCTGACGATAAAATAGATGGACTTGGGAACTGGAATGAAAAGAGAAGGAACTCTGTTTAAGAGGAAAAACTAGTTCAAAATTGACGGCAACGAATTCTAATAATCTTAGGTTGTGTCTCATAGATTAATAAGTACCACCATTTGAACTCCAAAGTTTATTACAAAAAAAAGGTTGTGGTGAGCTAAAATATGATGCTAAAGCAGCACACTTAAGAAGGCAAATCGTAATTCTATTTGATCCCACATCGACCCAAAATATAATAACAAGGCAAATTGTAATTCTTTTTGGTCCCACAATGACACTTGAGACAGTTGTTTAATATGTTTTTGTTAATTTTTGTTTATGTAGAAATTTGTGAAAACATTGGGCACAGCGAGTAAAGTAAACAACAATCAGGTAGTCAGAGAGCGGCTACGCCTACCGTCAGTCATGGGAGCCATAGCCGCCGCCATCCCACTGCCACTCACCTCCCCAACTCGCCGCTCCCTCACCGCCTCTCTTCGACCTTCTTCTACGAGTCTGAAGCTCAACTCTCTCCCTGCAGCTGCCTCGCCCAGAGCTCCTACTCTCCGTGTATCGGCCGTCTCGTTTTCCATGAACGTGGAAGCCGTTGAGAAAGCCTCCCCCGCTTCTTTTCTCGATCGGAGAGAGGCCAGATTCTTCCACTTCATCAAGTACCACGGCCTCGGCAACGACTTCATCCTGGTATTCAATTTCTTTGAAATGTTTGAATTTGTTGCAATATTTGAAATTTAATTAGCATTGAAGAAGTTCGGATTTTGAGTTTGATTTTCAATGTTTATTGTGATTGATAGGTTGAGAATTGAGATTCTTCGGAGCCTAAAATCAGTCCGGAGCAGGCGCCGAAGCTATGTGATCGGAATTTTGGGATTGGCGCCGATGGAGTGATCTTGGCGCTGCTGGGCATCAATGGCACTGATTATACCATGAGGATTTATAATTCTGATGGGAGCGAGCCGGAGGTGAATCGCATTTTCCAAAATATCGGCTCTACTTGATTCTTTGAAATGTTAATTAGATGAGTGATTGCCACATTGTATTGAATGTAGACGGTCTGAAATGGCAATGAACTTGTTGCACTTTATTGAATGGCGGTATTGTCGTGCATTTCGAACTTCTGAACTTTGATATCTAAATTTTGTCTATAGATGTGTGGTAATGGAGTCCGGTGTTTTGCCATATTCATTGCCGAGCTTGAAAATTTGCAGGGAAGGCATAGGTATGGGAAAGCTGGTTCCATATACTGATTTTTTTTTTTTTTTTTTTTTGCTTAACAATGTGTTCTTGTATATTACATTGTTTGCTTTAGTTTTTGTTTGCATTTAACGTTGAAAAGAAAATTTTATTCGTTCGCGTACGAATGGGTGTGTATATTTCTAACAACGCTATATGTAAACAATTGCAGCTTTTGGCGCAGGTCTAATTATGCCGGAAATTCAAGAAGATGGGAAAGTATATTCTTTTTTATTTTATGTTTCAGTTGATGTAAAGTATTTCAGATTGGGATGATTTGAACACATCAAACATTTTGCAAATCCTGTGAATTTGACAATATGATAACAGTATCCATTGCTGCTCTGGATGCCTCAATCATGCATTAAGTTTTGGATGTTCTTCGTCTTCACTTTAGCAGACATCTATTTTCTTAATTACAGGTTAAACTTGATATGGGGGAACCGATTCTTAAGGCGTCAGATGTGCCTACCAAACTGCCTGCAAACAAAGATCAATCTGTCGTTAAGTCGGTTCTTGATGTAGATGGAGTAACCTGGAATGTAACCTGTGTTAGCATGGGAAATCCTCATTGTGTAACCTTGGGTACAGAAGGAGGCCAGGTAACTATTGCTAGAATAACTTACGGCATATTCACTTATACTAGGGGTCTGGAGCAGAAATTTTTTTCATATGCATTTTGTCTGTTTTTTACCCTCCAGTCAAATGAATGACCTAATCTAAGCGTAATAAAGCCAAAGTTTCTTATGATTGATTAATGGTTTCCTCCAGCATATCACATCCTTTTCAAATCATCGAAACTTTTCTTGAACAGTCACGCACAAAAAAATAATTCTGGTTGTGACTTCTTGCTTTTTGTTGAAAATGAACAGAAGTTGAAGGTTGATGAATTGAAGTTAGCTGACATCGGTCCCAAATTTGAGGATCATGAGTTGTTTCCAGCACGAACTAACACAGGTTAGAATTTATTTGTCTGTGGAAATGCTTTTGTTTCTGGAAGCAGTTAGAGTTGGCATACCCTATTGTTAATGTAAGGCCACAGTTACATCCAATTTTGAAATTTCTGTATCGTTCGGTTCAAAATCATTGGAGTAGTTCTTGCTTGCAGTGGGTATGTTGAGATATACTTTGAAAAAGACGTACTCACAAAATTGTCTAGCACTGACACCTTTTTTTTTTAATTTACAAAGTTAGAGTGGAATATTTATTCGAAAACAGCTACTCAGAGCTTTTATACTCTGAACTGCCTCAAAATGTAAAAATAACTCATGTGATGTCCATTCCAAATACGATGTAAGGTGTTTCAAGATTCCTTTCTCCAATCTTGCTTAGCAGTTTGAAACACAGTTTCAAGATTCTGTAATGATCATGGTATATATTCCAGTGCAAATGAAATGTTTGATTTCAATCAAATTTCTTGGATCCTTTGCTCCTGTCTTGTTGTCAATTTGTCATTGTTCTGAAGCATTTATTTTGTATTCACAATTCTCATTTGATTGTTATTGACAGAATTTGTGCAAGTTTTCACACCTTCACACCTAAAGATGTGTGTTTGGGAGCGTGGGGCAGGTTAGTGCTGCTGCAACCAATAGAAGTTATTCTACTGTGATCTTATTGGCTAGATGTTGTGCTCTTTTTATGCATCGAAGTTTGAATTGTCTTCTATGCAAGTTAGAATACTGCTTGTATAAAAATAAAATAATGGTTAAGAGACTGGCCCTACAAACACTTATGATACAAGTAAATATTAGAGAGAGAGTCAAACTCGGGATTTCAAGTGTAAGGTGAGCAACAAGCCTTTTGCGCTCCATTTTCACATTGCATTAATATCCCACTTTTAGTCTAGAATTATGCTAGGCTCAATAACTTGAGTACGCATGGGTGATTGCGTCATCGATGTAAGTGGGCTCTACAATACAACTCAATCACCCATGCAACCTAGCGTTAAGTTAGGGTGAACTATGGGTGCAATTGGATCTCACAGCTGAACAACTCTATGTCACACAATGCATCAACAACTTGTAATCAACCGCGCATACTAGCTTTCCCATTCAGTTTAATGTGCTTTGATCATAACGTAAAGCGATAGCATTTCATTAATGAACAAGAACAATTACAAGGATTGTCATGATGAATACATTTCTCCAGTGACCAATTAGTTGATCTGGAGATAATTTGCACAGACAAGCATAAAGAGTAATCCCTTAAATGGCTACCACAAACAGCATTGGCACCAGTACAAGCACCAACAATACAAATTTGTCACAAAAACAGTGGAGGTAACAAACCTAAACCGAGGCATACACAATGTCATTGCTAATTAAAAGCGAGATATCTTCAAACCAAAATGATAAGGTGAGGCCACATCAAACGATAACGATGTCGTCTATCAACTTTGCAATGGCGCTCCGGCCATCCTGCGTTCTCCTCGTACGGCAACTGCCCGGTTTAGCTTTTACCAAGCCAAATCGAACCCCCATTAATCATTACTTGGACCTTGAAAGTCAGTTCAAATTACATAAGATAAGCCTTGTAATCATCATTCATCATGATAATTTTTTGAGCCTTTTTGATTGATCGACATGAATCAGCTCTTATATGTTTCCCATATTCTTTAATATAGCTTTGTTTCTTACTATCGTTCATACGCGTGTGGACAATTAATCATTTATGTATGTAAAACTCATAATAAGAACAACACGCGTTAATTGTTGACAAACTAACACTTGATACGACATGAAACATAACTAATTGTTACAATAGATATCAACTTTTCAAAGTATTTTAAATAGAAAAATGCTGGAGAGATTATTTTTTTTAGACTTTATTTTGTAAATCATATGTGATGGTTGATAGTTGGATACCATTTTAATGATTCATAGAAACAATTTGACCCTTAAATGGCACATCATATGTGAGTAGTTCTACCCCTAAGGACTTTGTGCCAGCACCCAACCCATTTATTCACTTCAGTGAACAGTAATATACTCCAATGAACACTAATAGACCAAAGCATCTCCACCCCTAAAAAAATGTGCTGGCACCTAGTCTAAAAATGCGATGGCACAAATGATCTCCACCCTTACAAAATGCGCTAGCACCCAACCCATTTAAAATATTATTAATTTTTTTATAAAATAATAAATAAATAAAATTGTTTTAATTTCGGATAGGATTTTTAACCAATCTCGTCACGCTACATGTCATTATCCAAACATACTATTTTAAGTTTATGTAATTTTATTTATTGTGTTTTTTTTTTAAATTTATTTGGTGAGGTTATGTAAATTTAATTGGTGTTTTTTTATTTTTAAGTTTATTTGGTGAGTTTATGTTATCTTATTTGATGTGTTTAAATAAAGTACAAAAAATAAATTTGAAATTCCATAAAGTTCTAAAAATAAAAACGAAATTACATAAAGTACTAATAATAAATAAGAAACTACATCTATTAATAAAAATAAAGTACTAAAAATAAAGACGAAATTACATAAAAATTACATAAGAAATTAAATAAAGTACTACAAATAAAGTGTAACATCCCACGTCACCCAGGAGAGTGATCCTTATATGTATATTCTCATCTACCTAACACGAGGCCTTTTGGGAGCTCACTGGCTTCGGGTTCCATGAGAACTCCGAAGTTAAGCGAGTAGCGCGCGAGAGCACTTCCAGGATGGGTGACCATGGGGAAGTTCTTGTGTGAGTTCCAGAAACAAAAACCGTGAGGGCGTGGTCGGAGCCCAAAGCAGACAATATCATTCTACGGTGATGGGCACAGCAATCAGGTAG